TTAAGCAATTTATGGTCCATCTAACAATGACTGTTTTTTAAACTTCTGAGGTAATATGTCATTTTCCTGGCATTCAAGATTTGATGAATTTCTATTTTCTTTTCTTTCTCGAGCAAATGTCAATAAACTACACTGCTGTCTATAAGATATTAATAAGTGTAGCTAAAGAAGTATACAAAACAAAATTTAGATTATTTTGAAGACTTTAAATTTGAAGAAATTTTATATTCTCGTAAATACAAAAAGTTTAAATCACTGTAGAGAAGAATCTTGTTTAAATTTTCATCTGCAAGGTTCTGTATATTCTTTCCAAAAGCAAGTTTTTTTAAATGCATAATATAGTAGTTTTATAGCTAATTCATCAATACCAGAAACGTTACTCTAGCTTCTGCTTAATTTTTTAAATTTTCTTTTTCTAAAAAGCTCTCTTTAAAATGTTTACATATTACACCTACTTTTTTTAAAATCTATTTATGTCATTATGCATAATCTATAATCAGAGAAATACAAGCTATGGAATTGTTTTAAACAATTATCCATTTTGTTATAGCAACATTCTCAAAAAGAGTAATTAATTGTAGTCAAATATTAATCATTCACATTCACTTAAAATGAGCGAGTGAAAATCACTCAACTTGAAGGAAATTTTACTTTTTCATCTAGAAAAAAGGAGCCTTCTTATCTTGAGTGAAATTCACTCAAGTGAAAGAGTTAAATGAAATCACTCAAGTTTGAGTGAAAAAATTTCAATCGAAGTGAAATTCAATCGTGTATGAGTAATAGTGGACCGTTTTCAATCTAACTTGAGTAATTTTCAATCATTTTTGATTGATTATATGTATTACTTTATTGGGTACTTTTAACTTGAATTTGTGTGAATTTCAATAATTTTTCATTCATAATTAGCATAATTTAATTGAATATATTTTAATAATACTATCATTATTTATTCTTTTTATTTGAATATCATTTAAATCACATTTGAATTAAATTTATCTTTTTCAGACTATTCACTGAATCTTTTAATGCCTATCATAAATGAGATGAAAAGAGAAATAGTTTTAGCATGTGTATTAGAAATAATTTATCAGCATTCATTTCTTTTAAATTTCATCGATGGTTTGTTCGGCAATTAATATTTTTTTTTTAAATTTTAAAACTAAACAGTGATATTTAATTGAAAAAAAGTGAAAGCTTAGTAATCCATCTGTATTTAACAATATGCTGAATATAATGGCGAGATAATACTCTTTAGAGATCGAAAGCTTTGAGACAGACTTAAGTACAAAATTTAAAGTATTTTTGGCTGTTTGTAATAAGACAAATTTTTTATTAACAGTTTTTCATAGTTTTTTTTAAAATTTTATTTAGGTATTCAAATAGTAATTGAAGTGACTTCATTAATAAGTTAAATCGTACTTAACCATTTCCATCCTAATTCTTGGGATCATAACTTTGATAATTCTTTCACATTCTATTTTATATGGATAGTAATTTTTCTAGACATTATTTTATTTGTAAAAGATTTGCTAAAACATACTTAAAAAATATTTTTAGGTATTGGTGAAAGGCAAGAGCATAACGTCTTTTTAACAGGGTACCACTCAATTTCCGAAAAAATTCCCTAACTTTTCCAGTTATTTCAGGTAAATTGCAACTAAAATCAAGACCATATTTTGCCTATATCATTCAATTTTAATTAGTTTATTTGCAATGGCAAATATTAGATTTTCCGTGTGAAAAATATATATAATTAAATGAAGATGGGAACATTTTAGTCTCACTAAAATGTAAAATTTTTCAACGAATAATTGTAATAGATTTAGAATTGTTTAACCAAATTCTCAATAACTAACTACTGTTACTGACAATTTTAAGACTGGTTATCTTCCAGGCATAAAATAGGAATTCTCCAGTAATTTGCGAAAAAAATTGCAACTTGCCCTGACTATTCCCTGATTGGAGCTAAAATAAAATTTCCTGACAATGTCAGGTTTTCCCTGTTTTAATAGTTCATTTGTTTAATTGTGATTTACAAATGAACTGAACGCAATTTAATTGAAAAAAAAATAATAGAATCTTTGGTAATTTTTAACTTGCTTTTATATAACGTTATATGGATGTGTAACACAACTCTAAAAATCACATTAAGTCATCAATGATAATTATTGAAAATATGTAACTTTCATGTCAGCAAAATTATGCAGGTCTTAGTTTTCAATTCTTTACTACTTTATAAAATGTCTTCACGAAGTGGAGCAGTCTGCATCCTTGCAAAAAGTATTGACGCCTGAAAGCTATGATACAACTGCAAAGGGTTAAGACTTTTAACATAAAATGTGAGAATGCATTTGTGAATAAGACAACTAAATTACGCAAAAAATATTTTCTTGTATATGTTTTCTTATACATATATTCTTTATGAGTTCACTCTAGATAGTAGAATATTTAAGTTTTCNTTTAACATAAAATGTGAGAATGCATTACTGAATAAGACAACTAAATTACAGAAAAAAAAGATATTTTATTGTATATGTTTTCTTATACATATAATCTTTATGTGTTCCCTCTAGATAGTAGAATATTTAGGTTTTCTATAGTGCTTTTAGAAGCACCTTTTTCAGCTCATAGAGCATAAACTGAAGAAACAAGAAGAACATAGAGCTTGATTTACTGTACATTACATTGAAAACAAAGTGATTCTTAAACAAAAAGTCAATTGCTCTTTTGGAGCAAGTGTCTACATCTACAATCATCTTACCCAATGTAAGAAGAAACTTCGAATCCTCTGTTTTCTTTTCCATTTTACAGATTTCATTTAGCCCCTCATCAAAATTTACATTTTCCTGGAAAAAAATATTTGTACATTACGAAAACAATATTAAAAACATAAATACTAATTTTGGTACATTCTTTTTCTAATAAACTGACAAATTAATGCTTTTTTTCCCTTTTCGCACTGGTAAAATACAAACTGTTTCAGTTAAAAATTTAAAGTTCTTTAAAAATTTTTGTAAACTTTAAAAAGACCTTTATAGCATTACTTTAATTAAAAAAATAAATTATAAAATAAAATTTATATCTTTATTAAAATTCAACAATTAACACTAGGTCAGAAAAATGCATTTTATATACATCACATTATTTACTCCTTTCACTTTAGTATATAAAACACATTATTATTTATTTATTTATTTCTGTTTAACTCACTGAGCTCCCCTCCTCCCCGTCACTGAGAGGGGAAAAAGATTATAATATGCCATTGAAAAATATAAATTGAATTCTATCTCGTAATAAATATTATTTTTAATACTGCTCCACTTTTTTTACTATTAATCTATAACTATTGTGAAATTTCAATTTATTTGTATTTTAAAATAATTTAATGAGCACTGTACATTTAATTAAATATTAATTCTGCATTTTCAATTTTGCCTCGAAAATTGAACTTGAAGAAAAGTGGAAGTGGTAAGAAATTTTATGCTAGCAACGAAAGAAAAATAGTTTGTATAATGTTATAAATACTTTATGAAATACGAAAATAATATTAATTCTGAATTCCAATTAAATAAAAGATAAAAACAGGATAAAAACAGAAAAATACTATTTAATTTTTTTAATATATAATATTTTCCACTTTCTTTGAATGATATATTTATAATAAAATGCATAGAACGTCTGAATATACAGATTTGAATGAATGGATGTTGCAAAAGTGAACTTTCATAAATTAAAGACAGTCATCTATATTAATAGAAAACAATTTAAAGAGAAGCAATTATAGTCTGTAAGAGCAGTTATAGGCTGTAAGATAAATTATTCCTTAAATATTTTTTATAAAAGAAGTGCAGAATGATATGAAATTAATTATCCACAAATGTTTCATGCCAAAATTATACATAAAAGAAACTGAATCATGGATATAAATTTCTTACATTAAAATAAAATGTTAAAACTTTAATATGAGATCTTAAAAAATTCTAAAACTCTTTACTGATATAATATATCACCATATGCTTTGACAAAGATTCTAGCATGGAATCAGATTTTTTTAATATTCCATAATCATCCACATTTAACACTTTCAATGTTAAAAAATTTGTTTTCACAAGAAATTTAAATTAATAGTATTTTATTTAATAACGCTGAAAAACAACTAATGTAAATGGAAAGTGTATATAACACATTCTAAATAAAAGTATTTTAAAAATAAAAATGACAAACTATATTAACTTACTAAAAAGTAAAACAGCGTCTTCTTCAGAAATACCGCTGTTAACTAAATGTTGTTTAATTTCTACTTAATTCAAAATATTAAGTGACAGATTCTCCAGAAAAAAATTAAACATAAAATAAAAGCGACGACATAATCAATTTAAATCGCAGAACAAAACAATTTTATTTAGATTCATTATCGTTAGTTTTTTAAAATATAACGATGGAAATTCAAGCTTATAGCTCACACATAATTAAATAATAAATAACTCACTCAAGTTTGAGCAAAAACCACTCAAGTATCGCTTAAATATGTACCACTCAAGTTCGATTGAAAACAAAGCAAAAATTTCGCTCAAATATAGGTGTATTTCATTCAAGTTGAGTTATAAAAATTTCACTCTCTTTTGAGTAGGGGAAATCACTCTTTCATTTTAAGAGTGTACTAAAGGCTGCTTTTGAAAGATAATGTAAAAATATTAATATTGTTTCTTCACATTTTCGTATGCATAAAACATAATATTTACTGACGGTTTTAAAATTAAAATGTTATGTAAACTTTTTGCTAATATTGTTGGTTTAGTACATAAAACTTTTAAATAATTATCGAATTAATGAAAATTTCTGATGTGCCTATATAAAGTTATTTTTACGCTATAAAAAATTATTTGCATTTTTCATAATATTAGATGCTTTCCTGGTTTCACTCCCTGGAAAAACTTCTACTTTGCTTTTGGATTTTGTTTCAGGTGTTTTGTTAAATAAAATTTCGAATACTGAAGGAATAAAGTTACATAAGAATAAAATTTATCCTATAAATTCATTCTATTCTAATCTATTCCTACAAATCTTTTCAATTCTGAGTAAGTTTGATTAGCTTGCGCAGGTGCTCTTTCTAATTTTCAAAATCTATTTGGATTTCATTAATCCGTTCTGTTGCAGCATTATAAATATCACGAAAGAAAAAAAATCACAAAATAGATTGAGCTGTTCAAAACGTTGGCAGTAATTGAAAGCATAGAAGTACTGGCTCAACTAAAAAGTAAGTAAACATTTTGAAGATTTAAATATTTGAATCACCTGTTTGCATTCACAATCCATGTGTGCTTTTAGCATGTTCTAGACCATGTATTTAAATTAAGTATACACGAATAAGCTTCAACTAGAAAATGTTTTTACATTTAAAAAAAATTGTAAGGCAACTTGCAATACTGATTGTCAAATGATTAAACAAATTTACCTTTTTTGGCAAATTTAATGTTAAATTTGATTTATTGTCAGCTGAATTGTGAAAATTTAATAAAAACTTAAATCAATAAAAATGAAGCTTTTGCATACGTTACGTTAACTATTTTATCTCTTAGGGATACTCCGTTGTAAGGAAATTTTCACCCATGCGTTGTGCCGTTCAAAGAATAATTGCTGAACCTAACCCTATGCAAAATCTCTAAATAAATGTCTGTAACGCTTAATACAAACTGAAAACCAGAATTTCAAAACTAATTTTTGCAATGACGGTGCAAACAATTTTTGCATAGTCTTATAATTTCAATATTTACACATTTTATAAAAGAAGACTTTTTACGTGCGGAATCGACAGTGGATTAACTATCAGTCCATTGCGGAACAATGATTGCTAAGAACTGTAATAGTTGAACATGCATTTCAGAAGTATCGTTTTTCCGCATAACACTATCAAGCGCGGATGGTAGTGAGTTAAAAACCAGCCCTAAGACTAGTTGTACCCAAGTGCTCTAATTTATGTTTAATGCATATAAATACATCTTTATTAGGCTATCTATTCTTCTACTTACGATGGTTTATAAGCCACTTGTTGCTTTGAGCACACAACCCTATGCAAATAAATTATAAGTTTGAACAATTATAAGTTGCAGTTTGGGACATTAATAGAACGAGAATTTCAATACTTAGTTTCACCAGAGAATCAGTATGTTATAAGCAGAATAATCAAGTTGAAATCCGTAAAGGGAGAAAGTCTTCTCCTTTTTTCTGATGAGGAAGTTTGAAGAATGGTGTACAAGCTTAGTCGTTTGAACGGGCATTATTGACATATCTGTTAAAAATAGAGCCGTAAGAAAACGAGGTTCGGCGCTTGGCCAAGATTGAGTTGCGTATGAAGGGCTCTCGTGTCTGTGGTTGATCGATACCTTTTTATTTGCGTCACACTATAGCTGCGCAATGGGCTATTGGAGACTTTCTGGGAAATTTCCCCCCCATTTTACCAGGAGGACAGATTCATACACCATCCATCAATCCGAAGGTCGTAATTTTGAATCAGAGAACGATCTTTCTCCAATCCAGCACCTCTAGAGGTATTGATTTGTTTTAGAAACTTGGAGAATTTTTTCACTCCGACAGATTTAGCATGCACCTATTACTATTTTGTACACGGGGAGTCTTCAACCTGTAGGGATCGGACCAACGCCCTATCAACCAGGCTATTCCAGTCATGATGTGGTTTTTTGGGCATTCGCAATTGTTTTGGGGAGGGAAAAATAACCCGAACTTGTTGGGTCCTTTCTAATTCTGTAAGTGTTGGGGCCGTGGTTGCCCAATGGTTAGAAAATCGGAATTCGGTCTTGAAGTGTCGGGGCTCAATCATTATCTGCGCCATGACCCACCGATTGCATGCTAGATTCGGTGCTGCGTCACTTGGCAGTACCATGAGTTCAAGGATCTGAAAGAATTTACATTCTCTTCAGATCCATGTCTAAATTGAATAAGTGGTCAAACAAATAAAATCCTCTCTGAAGAGGATCAAAATTGTGATAGTATTTGTTTTTGGACCATCCTCCAGATTGTTTTCAAGATCATTGCCAGTAGAGCATTGTGCAACTTTAGTGCAATGCAAATAAAGTACCTACCCCTTATTTGTTTTTTAAGTTAGTTATATTTTAATGAAGTGCCTGTATGTTATACGCTTGTAAGTGTTCGTCAAAATAATTAATTTTATAGCTAGCAAAAAAAAGTTGCATTTATCTCATTTAGCGTTTTCCTGCTATTCCTCAGTTAGTGTCGAGTTTTTTGCAGTGGCTGTCGGGAAGGAACCTGCGGTACTTTCGTTTTCGGGCTTATTATTCATATATCATATTTTGTAGACAAATGTTTTCAAGAAACTAAAATATCTAGCTGTAAAATGTCTATATAAATAATTTGGAAACTAAAAGCTTTATCCTTTCTAATTAATATTTTTAGAAGGTAGATCATTAGCAGTAATTTAAAAAAGAAATATATTTTAAAAAAAAGAGAAAAAGGAGAGTTTTTGAATGTTTTTTAAAAAAAAAATTGTAACCAAGTTATTGTTTTTGTTTTGTGAGGACGCTAGTCACCTTATTCATACCTTACTTTTCAACGATTAGACAACAAACCACAGTGGCGTCTTCACCTGCAACTTAACTTATCTTATTTTCTTTCTTATGTCAATTCTTGTAAGAAGTTGTTCAGCTTGTTATTCTTTTTTTATATAGTTTAATCTTTAGTACAAGATGTACGAATACAACATTACAAGAGAAAACTCATACCCAACTCCACTTGCAAATACAACTCTTTTACCTCTCATGCTCATGTCTTTGGCAACTCAAAAGAATGCACCGACAGTCCTTCAAACACCATCATCTCTGTATTCTGAATACGATTTCATCATTGGTAAGAATATTTTAAAATTATTTTTGCGGTGAACAATCACAATTGTTTACTAAAAAGTAATTTGATAACTTTTACTAGCCTAAAGAGCCAATCTCACTCGATGCGTTAAATTCACGGATGCTAGTACGAATCTGACTGGAGAGTTTTCCTGTATATAGGTTACGGTGAATGAGCGAAATCGGTGGTTGTTGACTTTCACCGGTGAATGTTGACAATCACATAGTCGCTTTGGTGAATGTTTATTACATTCGATTTGATATGAATTTATTCGTGGATATAATTACATTTATTCGATATTTTAATAGTTACTGACGATAAATCAGAAGAAACATCAGTGTTTGGAGCATCGGGCCATACATTTGCATTTTACCGGTATACATTTGCTCGGTATACCCTACACTGATGTTTTTTAAAGGTTAAGTGCCACTGCCCGTTATACCCTACACTGATGTTTATTAAGGTTAAGTGCCACTGCCCGGTATACCCTACACTGATGTTTTTTTAAGGTTAAATGCCGCTGCCCGGTATACATTTGCCCGATACTCCAAACACTGATGTTTCTTCTAATCTATCGTCAGTAAGTATTAAGATATAGAATAAATATAAATGTATCAAATAAATATAATAATATCAATGAATAAATTAATATAAAATTGGATATAACAAATATTTCGGACATTCACCAAAGCGATTATGTGATTGTTGTTATTCACCGGTGAGAGTAGACATTCTCCAGATTTCGGTCATTCACCGTAACATATATACTTCATCAACCAAAAACTTATACCTAAATTTTTCGCCCACGGTACGAACGATCCCTTACACTATTGGACTACAGGAAATAGACTGTGAATTCTCTTACCTATGTTTTAAAAATAATCTGGAATCCTTGATCTAGAGAGCAACGCAGCTCTAAATTCTGGGGTAGTGGTTAAATTAGAAAGTATTTAAATAGCACATACACTGATCGGAAGGACACGCTTCTTTGTAGAACAACGAAGTCAAGCACCCCTGGCTGTGGTCAGTTAGGGGATGGGTGACAACTTTGATCAGCCTGCATAGGGACCGAGGGTGTGCGGTATCGGATCTCGTTAAACTGTCCTACCGTAAAGTGCTCGAGGGTTTTCAGGCTACCGATGCGGGGGGTGCCATCCCCTCTGCAAAGGATCGAAATTGGTTTTCATATCTTCGGATCATCCTCAGGGATGTTTCCCAGACCGTCACCAATAGCACATTGTGCAGTTCTAGCGTGACGTAAATAAAGTACCTACCTTTAAATAGTACACCTTATATTACTAGACATACAGTCATTGGATTGAGTTAAATATTCCATCATCATCACGGCGGCTTGGGATCGACTTTGTTTTTACCGGATGAATGCTGATCGGACTGCACTTTCTTTGATCGAGTTTTAATGTACGGAATTAACTATATCCCCGGTGATTTTTGAGCAAGAAAAGAATGTTATATTGCAGTGCGAGCATGCGCATGTAATATCTTCTAGGCATCATCAAAGGATGGATCTTAAGTCGATGTCAATAGAAGATTAGTGTAGCTCTATTGTGACGTTAACAGTCAAATCAAATTTTTAACATTGTCAGCAGTCAGCATAGTTATAAAAGTATGGCGAAGAATTCTTTAAACTTCTAAATCTGATTTGGCGCATTCAAGCATTAAAAGTTATAAAAGTTATATAACTCATCTAAATTCAGTTCGTCCCGCAGTGGACTGATCGTTAAGACACGGTTCCCAGCAGATCACCGAAGTCAAACATCACTGTATTTCCCAGACGGTCGCCAATAGCCCATAGTGCAGCTCTAGTGCGACGTAAATTAACTACAACAACAACTAAATTCAGTTCACAAAGTAGTAAAATAGTACTTTTTTTACAAATTTATTACTTTATTAGCAACTTTTGACGTTATTTTTACGTCATAATTTTTATTACTAGTATTAATTTTCATCGTACTACATCTGCACAATGTGCTGTTTGCGCGAGTTTAGGAAATATTCCTGAGAATGGTTTGAAGACTTCCCATTAAAATATATTTATCTTCTGCATGGAAAGGGCTGCCCTACTTCTGTAATCCGATAATCAGCACATGAAATCAAAGACTCTATACGGTAGAGCAACTGAACGAGGATCGATATAACTCACGCTCGGTTTCTTCGAGGGCTGATCAAAGTGGTTCCCCCATTTCGCTCACTCATCGTAGCCATTGATGCTTAACTTCATTGAACTACAGAAAACCGACAATGGAAAGTATTAAAATCTCAAGTGTCCAAGACGTAGTGAATTCAGTTTTCATGAGTCAAAGTCACTCCGTGTGCAAAATTTTCACTGGTGCATGCTTGGTAAGGCATTGAGCTAATGTCCAAGAGATCGTGAGTTTGATCCCCGCCTGCCGAAGACTCCATGTGTAGTAAGCGGTTTCGGTTCACGTTGAATCTGTCCGGTCACAAAGTTCTCCAAGTTCCCATAACAAATTAATACCTCTGCGAGTACTGGATCAGAGATTGATTGTATTCTGCTTCAGTTCAAAATTGCGATTTGCGGATGGATGGATGGTGTGTGAATGTGTCATGCCTGTAAAACAGAGTGCGTGTATATATATATATATATATATATATATANTTAAGCCTATATTTAGTTAATCCGTTAAGCAATTTTTTATTATTATAATTTTAATTACATTTCCTTCATTTTTGGGTTTTAATAAATTTATTTCCGAATAATACATTTTCACTAATTTTTCTCATAGATTCACTAATATTTTACTTTAAAAACTTCTTCTTCTTCTTCGATCAAATATATATTTTTTAATTTTATTTTATTCGATTCGAGCTATAAGCACAACTTCAAATATTTTACCTCTTCGCGAATTTCGTTAACTGTTTAATTATTGTACTTTTAAACCTGAACCGCATTTGCCGGTAAGTTTGATTACTTTTTACATTTTTCCTTTATTTCATGATCTTTTTCAACAGCATGTTTTTTGCGATATCGACACATGTAAAGAATAATTTTTATCTTAAGATAATTATTCTTGATTCAGTAATATCGCATGTATACCAATAGATGAGTCTTGATAACGATTATTGGATTCCCCATTTTTAGTTTCTCTTTATATTAATTTTTAATTTATTATTTGTGTATATATATATATTATTATAT